GCCGCTAAGTCCTCAACATCCACTGCCTCCCCCGCAAAATTCAGAGCGCGAACCTTCTTCTTTGGTTGTACCGTTTCTCTGGCGCTCTTGCCATCTGGGGTAGAGGAAGCTTCAGCCGGGCGTCGTTGCCCACTCGAGACCTCCGGAGGTTTACCCGCCACAGCCGGCGACGTCGGCCGCTTAGCCGCCGTCATTCAGTTCGCCAAACCCTAGCAACCTTGCTTTCGTGATTTGGAAAACCTCCTATTTTTCCGGAGCGAAACAACTCTTTTCCAAAATCACTTTAATGATACTTTTGGTTGCCAATTATTTGTCTGATCCGACGCAATTTAAATCATCACGACAAAATCAGAAACCAAGAACAAGAAGTTTGTGAAGCAAAACGAGAAGAAATAGCGAGTCCTGGCTACCACAAGAGCAAGCGGCTCTCATTGAAAAGAGTCGTCCAATTTTTTGGCGGATAAAAAAGGCGGTCTTCTAAAAAGAGTAAGAAAGGAAATTTTGAAAATGTTAAATTTTGTTTCACGTTTGAATTTTGCCTCCACCAATTGGTTAGTTTGTAAAAATAAATTTAGTGAGAAATGTATTGCAAATAATCTTTTCAACTTTTCCTCCAGCAAAGCAGTAATCTGCATTAGTAACGAAAAATAGAGGGAAATATTTTTTGGATTAATTAGAGGGAAATTTAAAGGTTATTAGTTATTTTCAGTTTAAGCACAAATAGAATTTAGGGTAATGTGTATTTTTTATCCAAACATTTTTAGATTATTTTATATTATCCAAACCTATTAAAATTCTATTAGTTATCCAAATATTTCATGTTGCATCAAAATATTAGCCATTTTTACGTTATTGTTAATAAATTTGTAACCCTTTTCTCAGTTAAAATACAAATTTTTGGAATGTTGACATTCATATATCTCTTCCAAGTAGTATCATATTTGCCAAGTCAATATTACTAACAAAATTGCTAACTGAAAGTTAACATTTGATTAATTCTTAGTATTTCGATAGGTTTGAATAATATAAAAGAATCTAAAAAGGATTTGAATAAAAAATAAATATTACCCAAGAATTTAATATGTTCATGATGTTAAAGCATAAATTCATTTGAATTAAAATAAATATTATCCCTATCTCTCACATGCTCAAATTGTTAATCTTTCAAGAATATTATTTACGATTACACTTATTTTATTGATTTTAAACAATGACATGTGATTTTGTTCACTTGTTGGTGACGAAAATACAAATCTTCAAGTGAAAGCACATATGTAGTTTGGTTAATTAGCCTTTACCTTCAACATAATCTAATATGTAATTGCACCTTGTAATTTAAACCGACATATATAATTAGGCTTTGTAACAGGGAAACAACGTCGGATTAAAAGAAAGTATATGATGTCGCATAAAAAAGATTGAGACAGTTGGGTTTCCAGTATTGAGAAACAACGATAGACAGAAGTCAACCAAAAGTCAACCCATTGAATATGACTCGTTTGCACGTGGGATAACTATGAGAACTGATCGTGCGGAGCATGTGATTGCCATATATCTAATCAAGCGGATAATAAAGCCCGTGAAAGACCTTTATTGGCTATAACCAATACACGATTTAACAATTATAAACAACATTTCATTAAACCTAGATTTTGTGTAATATACAACACTAATTTTGTATAAGTATGTGTGCCAATCAAATTTTTTATTCATATTGTATTATACCGTATCACTATATTATTTTTTGTCTTCACATATGTTATCAACAATATGAAGTAACAATTTTCAGACATTTTGTTTGGTTAAGGTTTCTCATTTCACAACAATATACGAATGTCCATCGTGTTTTGCTATTTAGATCACGAATCAACCGGATTTAAAGCGCAATACTATACCGTAATTTTTAATGGTTTCACCTGAATCCCTAATTCTGTAAACCCAAACCATAATATTCATATAATCAAAAGTTAAATAGATAATAATTGATGGTCCCGATTAGTCAAAGTATTGAATTATACTCCAAATTAAATTAAAAGTCAACATGAAACAATTACAGACTAATAGTTTGACATACACAACTTAAAACAAACCGTCACAAGATTTCATACTAGTGTGCACATATCTTGTTAAATATATCATATATGTCACCAACCCGTCATTTAACCATTCTCGTTTATTCGGTTTCGACGATCGTTCTTCATATATTTCATGATGAAAATTATCTCTCCAAATGATAGGGTACATAATGTGGATGCTGATGGTGACAAAGACACAGTTTTAGCTTTAGCCTTTAATTTTAGGATAAACCATTAATCGTTTATAATTAAAGGTGTAGGTGTGTCATATGAAAGATTCTAGTCCAACCAGCATGGTGAACGTGGTGCCTTTTGCAAAAGTAGGTTAGTGGTTCCTGGTTCGAGCACTGAATCCTCATACCAGGTTTCCTCCAGGATATATTTTTGCCCAGAACAGATAAACGCCATCGTCGTTCTGTCGTTTTCGCCGAGAACTAATATAGAAACGTCACAAATAACTAGATATGTCACTAATATAGAAACGTCATCGTTCTGTCGTTTTCGCCGAGAACACACAACGCCGTCGTTTGGCGCGACTCTTCTTCTTCCCTACCATCTCACTCTGCATCTGAAGTTTCTCCGTTTCGATTCACAACTCCGGCAGGAGAATTCCGCTGACGAGACGCGAGCTCCAACCTCTATCATTGTTTCCACGGTGTATTCGTCGTCGTACACCATCCACTAATTCCGATTCGTCAGTGAAAGGGTAGCAGTCCGGTACACGCTTATCCAACCACCGAATCTCTTCTCGGGCAACCCCACATCACCGTCCTAATCGTCGTCGTTACCACCGTAATCCTGACACTGTTCTCTTCTCCCGCAACCCTAGTCACCATTCCAATCGCCGACGTCACTATAAAACCACCATCTCTCTTCTCCGGCAATCCCACGTTCCGTAGAGACCCACATCCAAGCGAAATCCCCTTCCTCCCTGCAAGCTTCTGAACAATCGACGGATCAATCCTCTTCCCTCTCCAGTCGAACATATCAAACCCCACCGCCGCCACGATTGAATTCTACCCTAGGCTCATAATTAAATCCTTACCAATTGAGCCCCCTCTCCGCCGGAGCTCGGGTGCCGCAACGAATTCACCAGCAGCCTCTGCCTCAGGGCCGGCCCATGATATTCAGAGGCCCTGTTCGAAAATTAAAATGTGGCCTTTTTTCTCTCATAAGTTTATTAAAAATAAAAATTATTAAATAAATAATAAAGTACATAAGTTTAAAAAATGATTACAAAATAAGTAATATTATTTATCATTTTGAAAAAAGTAACAATTGTCTAGTATTATTTGAAATAAAATACTCTATTAACTCTTCCATCTTTGCATCATCCAAGAAGTTATTCTCAATTGTGAACATCGCTAATCCGTTAAGTCTATCTTCTATCATTGTAAAGCGCAAATAAGACCTCAACAACTTCAACTTTGAAAAGCTTCTTTCAAAATCATCAACAAAATTAATTTGATCCACCATATCAAAATTTGAAGTTTTAAAACAATCAACAAAACAAAGAAGAATACTAATTGCCTGTCAGATGATAATTCCTTCTTACCGTTTACATAAGACATAAAAAAGATTCATTTTTACCATTGATGTCCCATGAAAAGCTTTTCTCAATGATCAAGTGTAGGCCCATCATTTAGTTGGTGCTAGTAACTTTGTTTGCCAAGCAATTTTAGCAAAGAATGATCTTACCTGAAGGCCCGTTTAAGCTATAGATTAATTAGAGGCCCATAATTAATTTAAAGGGGGTCATTTTGTTTTCAAAGCAATTTGGGAAAACATATTATTTATCTTGAATCCCGTTTAAAATATGAATTAATTAGAGGCTCATCATTTAGTTCAAACAGCTCACTTTGTTTTCTAACGTCAAGACTCAAGAGTCAAGACACATTACTTATTTGTGGGCCTATTAACAGCCTAGAAAATACTTCCACCGAGGCCCTCATTCTTATGAGGCCCTGTGCTGGCGGGCCTACCAGCACAGGCCCATGGCCGGGCCTGCTCTGCCTGGCATTGATGGAGATCATCTCCAACTCATCGGTGTCTCCCGGAATTCCAAACTCCAAGCTAGAACATTCAATCAGCATGTGTATCGGCATCTTTGGGAATCAAGCCACAATGGATTTAAGGGTAGTAATTGGGGTTGCTTTGATGATGACGATAACCTTTGAGTGGATGATGACAATGAAGTTTTGATTCATTAACAATTCCAGCCAAATTTTAATGGAGAATCTTTTTTATCAATTGTATAAAATTTGCTGTTGAATAATAGAACTCTATAAAATAAGGTATTACACGAGAAAACATGATGGTATTTATTGTTCGGGGACTTCATAGCACATATAATTATTTAAAGGGTGTAGTTTGTAATCATAATTTTTATTAAATATATAATTTTAATATAATTAATACTAGCCGTTAGATTAGATCAACGATCTGAGGACCTGGAGCATGCTATGAGTCTGAAGCATACGAGTCGTGTTCATATATATATATACATATATTCTATCGTACCTTGGGTAAAATCAAAGTTATGACATACCTTGAGTAAGAAAATGATACCTAGACCTTGAATTAACCGGAGTTTGGCATTTGGTACTATTCCCAAACCCTTTAAGATTAAAATCTTGGTCTTAATTCTATCAATCTCATACACTAAGATCAATTTAAGTAGAAACAAAAATCAACGGTTATGATTCGTCGAAATATATGCAACAAATTACATGCACAATCTTAGTGGTTAGGCTCTATGATTTAGAAAACTAAGACATGGGGTTCACTTATCAAGGGATAGGGTACATTATCATGGCCAAAATTCTGATAATTCGAGGTCTAGATAGTGTTTTCTTACTTAGGGTATGTTGTACCCTAGATTTTACCCAAGGTACGATAGAAGCCACCACATATATATATATTATAACTAATTTAGACGTTTTAATATACTACTATGTTAAAAAGTCATATAGAACTCCATCCATATTAACCCTTATTTGACGACATCGAAAGCAAAGAAACAAAAGGTAGCTAGGTGGGCATATGCTGATATTCACCTCTAGTGTTCAACCTAATTTTAAGACAAAAATAGCATCGCCTACAATATACAAGCCCATACAGTAATATAGCCCACGATGATCACTACTCTACCAATTCACTGGGCTGGGCTGGGCTGGGCTGGAAAGATTGACACGTCCATCTTCACAGTATGCGCCGCAGAGACCAGCTGGAAGAGGCACACATCTCCTTCTCCCATATTGTTATCTTCCATAAACTTTACCCATCCCTTCCCCATAAACATCTCTTGTCCTGTCTTGTTCCTCGCCACCTCCACCCTCCACTGCTCACCTGCTTTTTCGCCATTGCTCACCTCCAGAATCCCCCTTCTATTGCTTCTTCTCTGAATCTTATGCTCTCTCCCAAACCGAGTTGGTATCATCTGCATTGCACACATTAACCAAAATATCATGTTTGCTTAAGCCATATATATGCCAAAAAAAAAAAAATATCATACAAAGAACGACTGCTACTCACGGTCCTGGTGTACCCACGAATCTGACGAGCGTTCGGCACGACGATGAAGCAAGGACGGTCTTCGGGCTTGCATGCAATTGCTTCCTCGATTCCCTTCTTGCTCTGTCTGTAGAACTTGGGTAACAAGAGGTGGAACAGAGCATTCGTCGCAATCCCGCTTGCTTTTAGACACTCCAGCGTTTTCTCAATCTCAGCTGCATTCCCAAATCACCAATTCCCAACTAATTAATTGATTACTCACGATCATATATGTAAAAAAACCGGTATGCAAATGTCTTACGGGTAATGAGATCGGAGGTTTGCCGCCTTCTGGGTCGGACGCAATCTCCTTCGTCTTCGTCGGAGGAAATGACGATGCAATGAGGGGAACCCGTCTGATCCTCATCGAGCTGCTCGGTCTTAGGGTAGTCGATTGAGCAAGTGGTGAAGTCGAAGATGCGGACATTGAAGGCAGAGCGGCCTCGCTGGTACTGAAACGCCAGAAAAAAACCTGCGGAAATCGAGTGGTGCTCCACAAACTCAGCCCAACCGTCGCCGAACCAGATCTCCTCGTTTTCGTCGCTCGTCGCCTTCTCCACGCCGACCTTCCATACCCTGCCGTTTGGTAAGGTAAGTGCAGCCGTCGACGAGAGTTCGGAACCATGCAATTTGACGAACTTCAGGGGCAGCTTCTGCAAAATTAGAAAGAGAAAGCAAGCGTACGTGTTCACGATTCTGCGCAGACGATGAGAAGATATGTGAAGAAGTGAAGGTCTATTGGGGACTTATTAGTTATTACCAGCTTCTTTTTCTCGAGCATGTAAGGAAGGATGATTCTGAAGAAACTTGGAATTGGTGCATCCATGGGGGAAGGCAGAGATCTTGAACGGATTTTGGCTGCATGCGAAGTGACAATTCCACGCCCAGCCATATTGATGATGGTTTCACAGTCACAACAAGTAAGCACAGGGAGTAGCCTCTTTGATAAAAAGCTCTGTATCTGAATTCTGAAAGGCCATTTGGTTTAGTATTAGTTGCTTCCATTGCGTTGGACCGCCAGCCTACCAGTTGTTTCAAGCCACGTGTGTATCTGAAATAATCTAGTGAAACAATATGCAATCACACAATGCAAGGATTTACGTGGTTCTTCTCGTTCGGTGTGTGACTCACTCCTACTGTCACTCTAGAAATTGGCCAAGTGTAACCACTTCCTAAAGCGTAGTATAGCGGGTTTGGGTTTAAATATCAACCCGGGTCCTAGATCTGATGACTACTCGGTGAATTCTTGTTATCTAGCGGTAAAACTTAATGCAGGTTCAAATAAACAAAAACACAAAACAAGTTAAACGGTTGTTTTCAAGTCAAGAGAGGTCACCCGGATATGGTTCCCCCTAGACTATAGTTAAGCCGGATTGCAAGTTACCAAGTTCAGTTTCCATGAAAGTTATACTGCGGAAGGTTCTTAAACAGTCTGAAGTCTCGACTAAAGGTCTCCAGACCCTCTCAATCTGAGTCTCCAGCGAGCGACTAACCTCCATCGGAGTAAACAGATTGAGGCCCTAACGAACCAAACCTCCACTACCGAATTGAATTCGGTACAGAATAGCGAATTGGCTCCTCGACTAAAGTCACCAATTCGCCACCTTCAATTAAGGGTGCTCTATCAACCTAGGCAGATATTCTCATTCTAGGTTAAAAGTGAAACAACATGAATTTGATCAGGATTCAAGTCATTCAATCATTCAATCCTCAATCGAATATAATCAACTCATGAAATCTGTACTTGGGTTCATACAATCAGACCTAACATACAAATCTAGGGTTCTCCATACCCAGATGAATGGGAGAACTACTCCATGGAGAAAGAAGCAAAAGCAGATTCAGATGCGGAAACCATACTGCGAAGGATGGATTTCAGCTCCTGGTCGTCGATCAGCACTTCTCCAAGCTCAAGTCGGACTCCAATGGTGATGAAGATCAAGCTATGGCACTTGGGAACTCTGGTTCGTCGCTTTCTCTCTCTAGGAATCGCTCTGTCTCTCTAAAACTCGGAACCCTTGCTTTTGGCCTTCTTTTCCTTTAAAAGGCTGACTGTCGCGATACCCGGTCGAAATACCCGGTCGGGTATTTTGGGTCTCGACCAGGTATAATTAAAGCGCACCGTTTTTTCCTAAGGAGAAATCCCCGGTCTGGCCCAAGAATCCCCGACCGGGGGATTTTTGCCTCCTGCCCGGGCCCCCTTCTGTTTCTCACGGGTGCCCAAAACAATAAATACCCGGTCGGGTATTTGAGCCCATGACCGGGTATTTTCCTCCTGCAGCACACTTCGACCCAACTTTGCTCCTTTCGACACAAAACTCGTTTCTTCGCCTCGATTCCAACTCATGGCCCTGAAATATGACATAAACACACAACCTCGCATGAAATCGGCTTAAAACACGAGAGTCAACCTCTCAAATGGCTCAAGAATAGGGGTAAAAACATGTGTAATTATTGGTCTATCAAACTCCCCAACACTTAACCGTTTGCTTGTCCCCAAGCAAACCTAACTCAAACCAATGCAACTCTCCAGACCTCTATAGCCACCAACAACCCCGATCATAGGTAGAGGATTTCCTAGATCATTTAGCAGCTTACGAGGTCAACCGACGCACAAGTCATCTCATAGCTTCTTCGGCGAGAGCGCTAGTCTCGAGTTGGCATCATGGCAAATAGTGAACAGAGGACAAATGAATCGTGGACGAATGGACTCTCAAAAACAAAAGATCATGGACTCACCTTTTTAAGGTGCTCTATTTTCTTCTTGAAGATGGTTGGAACCCCTTGTCTTTCTTTTTTTGCTTGTTTTCTGTTTTTTTTTTCTGTTTTTTTTTTCTTTCAAGGGTCCCAACCTGCTTTTCAGAAAATGGGGGCTCCCACCTAGCAGAGGTTTTGCGGGAGCCCGGCTCTTACCGGCCATGCCAGGAGCGGATGTCTCGAGCCTCATGCGGGGGAAAGACATGTAAGGGGGCTGGAGGTAGTAGGTGGAAATTGGGAACGGATTCTCGTCTCCCCTTACACACTTTCGCCCTATTCGCACGGGAGACGTTATTTTAAAGCACATTTTCGAGCACCTTTTACTTCAAAAACATGATACAGGAGTCCATGACAGGTAGAGAGTCCACATCACCACACAATTCAAGAGTCCTAAGATCACTAATTCACACAATCAACCAACACAATATGAAGAAGAAAGGAGACTTCTTAAATGCATCAACATCCTCCATAGTGCTACACTACCTACCTAGGTTGCACATTACTATAGAGACTGTCAATTCAAAGCATGCTGAGCAGGCAATTGCAAGGAACACGTAGTTGGAGCCCTCAAATTTAAAAATTTGGACAGTGGACTAGGCTCCAAGCACACAAACAGATCTAACGCAGTCAAAAGATAAACATCCCCCCACACTTAAGATCGACATTGCCCTCAATGGAGAAGAGGGAAGGAAAAGGGGAACGATGTTACCAGTGTGCACTGACTGCAGGAGACTGGAAGCGGACCAGTCGGAGTGAAGCAGACTGGAGAGAGGACCAGTCAAGAACAAGCACAGCTAAAGGAAACCAAAGAGCTCAAACACAATACGTTAGGTCCAATGGTCGGCCCAATAGTACAACATCCAAAATAAAAAGAGAGAAACTAAACCGACAGAAGACAGTTTGCACACTGACAAAAACAAAAACACTCAAAACATGCCACTAGGGCCCTCCGAGACCGGTGAAGTCGATCTAGTTCATGAGGTCGTTGTCTCCATCCTCCGGTGGTGGTGGTGGTGGTGAATGATCCCACCGGGTGGTCCAGTGGTGCTCCTCCGGTGGGTGACAAGCCTGGAGCAGGTGCTCCGAGTACTCCATCAATCGGCGGCCTCGATCTCTCTCTCGCTCGATGAGAGCACCTGTGACTCCCATATGGGTCTCTAAGCGGCTGAGGCGCTCGTCAACAATCGTCAGCCTGGACAGGTACTCGGCCTGGTGGGCCGAATACTGCCGGTAGAACTGGACCTGATGGTCCATAAGCTGCTGGTTCTGAATACCGAGCTGCTGGAACTGGAGCCCCATATGCTGGAACTGCTCCGTGAAGAAGTCCATCGACGGACTAGAAGGACCGGAGGAGGACTCGCCTCTCTCTGATCTCCGTCGTGGGCGAAGGTCCCCTGGTGGAGATAGTGGGGGCTCCGGCTCATCAGCATCCATGGCCCCGCCATCATCATCATCATCCTCATTCTCCTCCTCGCCAGAGTAGTCAGCGTCCTCCTCATCTTCATCGAGATCCACATCCTCCTCAGGAGGCATGGAGAGCCCATCCACCCAGGTGCGGGTGCCATCAGTGGCCAGGAGGAGTGCATTGTGGAGCACTTCCCGACTGAGGGGGGTGGAGCCTCCCCGTGTAGAAGAATCTGTGAGCCCCTGGAAGCTAATGTCGAAATGGTGCGCTAGACGGGTGATCAGGGGACCACAGTAGAGATGGTTGGGCTTCCTGTGGCATCGAGAGAAGGTGGTGGCCACGAAAGAACCCAAATGCAACATGTGATCCGGGTCCTACATCGAGTACATGGCATAGAGCACCTGCTTCGGAATCTTGTGTGAGCCGGTGACGTTGGGGACGATAGAGCGGGTGATGAGCAGGATAAGGATGTGCCACTGCGTCTTGAGGGTGCGGACGTATGTCTGGCCAGCGTCGAAGTGATCAAACCAGTAGGCGCGCCTGGCTATATGGCGGTAGAACTCGTCCTGGTTCCAGTCGGTCTGGTTTGGGATCTCGACCTCGTGGCGGTCGAACGGGTGGTACTCGATCCCCAAGGCGTAGGCCAACCCGTCAATGGTCAGCTCCCGGGGGTAGCCACCCATCCTGATTCTCACTGCATAGGAGTCCCGGGCCGCTTTGCTGTCTTACTTGAAAGTGGTGTAGAACTCGCACACCAGCTCAGTGTAGGTGGGCTCCTCTATAGTCAGCAGCTTCCGCTAATCGCGGTGGCTGATGGCGGCGGTGAGCTCCTGTATGCAGTGGAGCTGCTAGAACATTGCCCACTCCAGATGGTGGTGGCGCTCCAATTTCCCCCGAGTCACCGCGCGGAACTGGTCCGCGTAATCCGGGTGCAGGCTCAGGCCCTGCACAAACTGATGGTCGAGGGACATGCTCCTGCAAAATCAACAAACCAAAGGTGGAGCCAAGAAAAGACTTGTCAGGACCAACAACATGGGTTCATCACTTCCCCCACACTTAAGGATCACCTAGGCTAACAGATTTAAGCACAGACGGTTGAATCGCAAGCAACTCAACCGGAATCAAGGCAAGAACCACAGAACCAACCACATTAAGTACACGGACAGCACATACACCATAGATAGAACCATGCATACTCAAAGCATCCCTCGCCCTATTCTAACTCATGCATGCAAATACAGTTCTCGGTCCTACAATCTACAGTTCGATTTTCCAGGAAAGAGCAGTTAACAAGAAACACACCTGAAAACGCAAGGAGAACTGTAGCTAAGGCTCAAAAAACGGGTGAGGGACGCGAGACGGAGGCCAAAAATGACCCGGGAGGCTCGCCGAAAAATGGCCAGAAAACCGCCGGAAGGTCGCCGAAAAACGACCGGCGGCGACGGCGGTGAAGAAGAGAGAGGGGAGAGGATTTGAGAGGAAGAGAGAGGGGAAAATTTTGAAAAATGAGGGTAGAGAGAGAAATTGACCGGGGGTTTCCAAAACGCGGCATGTCGAGTGCAAGTAAATCCCCGGCCTTGAGCCAAAAATACCCGGCCGGGTATTTTTGGGTCAAGGTCGGGGGGTTTGAAAACGCTACGTTCTATCTTGGGAAAATCCCCGGCCGTGAACCAAAAATACCCGGTCGGGTATTTTTGGGACAAGGTCGGGGGTTTTCCCTTTTTCACCCCGAGAAACAGAAGGGGGCCCGATCGTGGACCAAAAATACC